TGTCACGGCGCGGTAAAGGAACACACCGTGTAAACAGGGGTCTGGGTCCAAGTGCAGGCTTTTATTAACTAAAACAGAAAACAAACAGAGCTAAGACTCTGACACACATGCTTGAAACAGAAAACGGACTCTGACACAATACGGCCACGTAGAGCTTGCATCAGTCCCGTAACAACACTTATCACAACTAATAATCCGCCCAGAGAGGCGTGGGGAAGGCGTATAAATAGCCCTCAGGATGGGCAACAGCTGTGTGTGTGTGAGTGTGTGCACAGGTGTGTGGAGTCAAGGTAACGGAGTCCGGGAGGATGGGAAGTGGCGACCTCTGGTGGTGAGAGGGAGAACACCAGACCCAGACCCCTGACAATAATAACATGATTTTTAATTTTTAATAGATACTGCTACGGACTCTTAAAATCACAAGACCAGTCTTTTCATATATGCTGTTTTCTGTAGATTCATGAATTTGTAGCACACCTGCTATCCAATAATCGCAATAAGCTTTGTTACTTTGAATATGAAAGAAAGTCTCAGCTTTAAAATTGTCAATTTTATCACACGATCCAATCATCTTTTCCTACATACTAGGGATGTAACGGTATGAAAATTTCATATCACGATTATAGTGATCAAAGTTATCACGGTTATCAATATTATCATGGTTTTGTTAAAATTTGATTAAAATGTTCAAAAAGAACTAATACACACACTGAAAACATTTCAATAACTTTTATATTTGAAAATCAACAAACAACAAATACAATTAGCAGCTATATGCACTTTTTTTAGCATAAACATTAAATTAACATTAACATGAAGCCCTAATAATAATAATAATAATAATAAATCACTTATATATATATATATATATTTCTGTTTGTGATCATGTGATCTTCGGTTAGGAGATCTTGTGATGCTTTTTAAAGCAAAGTTGGGGTTGATTTCGAGTTCACATACAAACATAAGTAGAATGGGCTAATTAAATTTGTCTATTTTAATGTAAGACAACATATTTTTCGTCAGTGATAGAAATATGATTTAAGACGGTAGTGTAAGCAAGTTTAGTTTGAAAACGTTTAATAGTAAATAAGACACAATTAGACAATATTTTAATAAAATTATAATAATAATAATAAATATTTATTTGCAACAACTGATGGAGTACTGAATGCTGCACGCACGCGCAGCGTTGTCAAGGTAACATTTGGTCAGTCATTCCCTTCGCCAAGGGAGTTTCAAACGCTTATACGAGACAGTAATGCCCTGCACCCTTCCAAGAACACACTTCAAGGGCTCTGCCCTTCGAAGGGAGTAGGGCATAGGGATGCTCACTTCTGTTTGGAATTCGCCCCATGTCTCTTGTATCACCGCAGAGGCTCAGCGCGCTCTCTCTCGTTTCATTCAAATGCAGCTTGCCGTCTTGCGTCTCAGTTTTTGATTGTATTGAAAATGAAATTAGAGGAATTTAGTATTAATACTACTATAATTTTGCTTTAGTGATCATATTGTCCTGACTATTGTTTTGTACACTGTTCATAATGGATTTATAAACGGGTAATATTTTAAAACATTAATCTCAATTCAATATTTCATGTCTCCGTATTTATATATTATTATAGGTAAACAAAAAAAATCTGTTTAATAAGTTAACTATGAATATACAATACATTATCCCTTAAATGTCAACCTTAATAGTTTGAACGTTCGTTCTTTTGGCTCAAAGCCACTTGCTGGGAACTTTTCTTCGCGGAAGCTTTGCGTTAATTACAAGTGAGATAACGAAATATTTAATCTCTAATCAATATTTTTTGTCCAATTATTTGCCCAGTTAGTTTTGGTATTGAGGTAAAAGTTACCTTGCATTCGCTAAAGTGGGTGGTGGTCACGAAGATGACGGAGCAAATTTGATGCGTTTCCCCCTTTTGCAGATTTTATCATGATTTATCGTAAAACCGGTAATCGTTACATCCCTACTACATACTACTAGTTATAGCACAAAATAAAAATGAATGAAACAGTACAAAACAGAACGAGTTAGTATTTGAAATATATCATGTCTCAAATAATTGCTCAAGCAATGTTTTAATCACAAAAAAATGCATCAATAAAACAGCTTGTGAACAATGTCACGTAATGTTACATTTACCTCATGTAAGACATTCTGTGACCATAGATAGCCCTCAAGAGCAGCATTTTGCTAAATATATGCACTATTTTACATATTCATTTCATTTAAAGTTAAAAATTTTGATTAATTCATTGATAATATATCAATTAAAAAATTACATTTATTTTCAGTTTTGGATTCAGTTTTCAGTCAAGTGCATCCTGAATTTTTGTCCCTGCATTTTTATTTCAGTGCATTACTAATTTTAACATTTTAATCTAGGTAAAATCATGTAAACTTACTAAACATTTGCATTGAAATGTTGTAAAAATATATCCTTCGTGTTCAGAATCCCACAGTGAAAGACCTGATTGGCTTTGGGCTTCAAGTTGCCAAAGGAATGGAGTATCTCGCAAACAAAAAATTTGTGCACAGAGACCTTGCTGCACGTAACTGCATGTAAGTAAGAGGCAACCTGAATTTTCATAATTCATCTGGTAATGTATGCATACACCAAAATGTAACAAACAGCTGTTTTGTTGTCTTATCGAAGTACAGTGTGTATAGACACAACATATCTAACAAATGTAATGAAACTGCTTTTCCTAGGCTGGATGAGTCGTTTACAGTGAAGGTGGCTGACTTTGGAATGGCACGTGACGTCTATGATAAGGAATACTACAGCGTCAAGGACAGCAAGAAAGCAAAGCTGCCAGTCAAATGGATGGCTTTAGAAAGCCTGCAGACACAGAAATTCACCACCAAATCAGATGTGGTAAGTTTAAATATGGAAAATCCTTTCAAAACATTTCAAGAATAACGGTATGTATCCAATAGAGGAATTTCTATTTCAGCAGCTAGGTATGATTCTACATTCTATATGTAACATGTATTTTATTCCCTCTAGTGGTCTTTCGGAGTGTTGATGTGGGAGCTGATGACGAGAGGGGCCAGTCCGTATCCTGATGTGGACCCTTATGACATTACAACATATCTAATGCAGGGCCGTCGACTGCTACAGCCACAATACTGCTTGGATTCCCTGTATGATTTTTTATATTTACCTGCCTTTTATTTGTGAAGGGGTCATATCATGAAGAATCAAATTATCTTTGGCTTTTTAATATTTATGTTATGAAAATATGTGTTTTAAAGTGTCTTTTTTATTGATGTAACTGTCCACATTTACATGTCAGCAACACCTATTTTGCATTCAGAAAATCACAAATCAAGTAGTAAAGCAGGATAAATATATTATTAATGTTGTTGTTGTCAAAATATTAAATTAAACAGTCTTGAGAAAGTATATACTTTTTGGATGGAAAACTTTTACTGACATTATAAGTAGATCACAAGAAAGAAAAAAACTAAATAACTGAATATAATAATAATAATAATAAACAATATGATCCCTTTAAAAACATTTTTTAGAAACAGCTGTGAAAACCCAACAGAAACACTTAGATTTACATATAGCTTCATAATTGGCTATAGACTAAAAGACCATAAAGAATAATGAATCATTTTGGATTCTGTATTATAGGTGGTCCATCATGCTGCAGTGCTGGAATCCTGAGCTTGAGAAGAGACCAAGTTTCCCTAGTCTCGTGAAAGTCATTCAAGACATCCACTACAGCCTAGAGGGGGAACATTACGTCAACCTCCAGATCACCTATGTGAATCTGGACCAGCCCCGGCCCTACCACCCACTCTCTCCGGCCCCACCTTCTTCTGAACATTCAGACCAGTCCTGACCCTGGTCTCAAATGAAATAAGCCTGAGCTGCGTTCATCCTGTGGATTCAGCGGCTCATATGGTCCTGTGAAGTGTGGGAACCTAAAAGCATGCACTGAAGATGATCTGCTGTATTTGGAGAATCCCAATGTGTGTCAAACTGAATGTACATTCCTTGTGTGTGATGGTCATGCAGCATGCTTTTGTGACGTTTGTGCATGGTGTTAGTTGCATGGCCAAACTGGTGTCACATCTTTGGGATTTTAACATTTTTGGCGGCAAGTGCACTTTTCAAATGAATTTTAAATGTTAAACTTTTTTTTTAAATAAATGCAAGAATGTTGTTTTTATACTTTGATGACAACTGAATGACAACTGAAAATCATTTGTTATTGCTCATACTATAGTATAACACTGTGTTCTATCCAGGTACAAAGCGGCAAAATTCCAGTGACCAAACCATTTTTATGTCCACTCTGCCAGTGAAAATGTCACCCTCTCTTAGTCAGTGTTTGATGTTTAATATACATGGGGAGTAGGTTTTGGTCCAATAGGCTTTTAGTGGGAGCAGGGCTACCAGCACATTGCTGCAGAAATATAAACCAAGTGATTTACACAATGTAACAATGTAAGAGATAGCTTTTGTCATGTTGTGCCTGGTTAGGACACGTGGTTTCTTAAAGGCTGTGTGACAAAGAGTGATATAATTACTTGAAAAATGGTTTGATCAGTTTCATTTTACCTTTTTCCCAATGTAAATAAAGAGTTAAAAAACCAAGGTCTGAATTTGACATGATCAATGAGCAGTTGACAAGCTGCTTGATATCATGATGTCAAGCAGTGATGTAATACACCATCTAAAACTAATTTAAACTGTATTTTCAAATGATTACGTAATTATGTGAATAATTGAGGATAATGTACCAGCAAAATCTACAAGTAAGTTATGATTTTATTTTCATTGTAGAAATTTTAAATGCGATGATTTTTTGCATATGCCAGCTGGTGCACAAG